TACATTGATGATGATGATGATGATGATGATGATGATGATGATGATGATGATGATGATGATGATGCTGTCGCTGATGATGATGCTGCCGCTGATGATGACGCTGATGCTGATGCTGATGCTTCTGCTGACGATGATGCATGATGCTGCTGCTGATGATGATCATAGTGATGCTGCTGATGGTGATGATGATAATGGTGGTGGTGATGATGATGATGCTGATTATGCTGATGATGATGCTGATGCTGCTGATGATGATGATGATGATGATGATGGTGATGATGATGATGATGATGATCATGATATGATCATGCTGCTGCTGATGATAATGATGGTGATGATGGTGATGATCGTGCCGATGGTGATGAGGATGAGGGTGAATCTGATGATGATGATGATGATGATGATGATGATGACGATGCCGTCGACGACGACGGCGGCAGCGGTGGCGCTGTCGAGGGCGGGATATTGATGCTGCTGCTGATGGTGCTGCTGCTGCCGCTGATGATGAGGATGCTGCTGCTACGGATGGTAATCGTGGTGATATTGATGATGATGATGATGATGATGATGATGATGATGATGAGGATGAGGATGAGGATGATGATGATGATGATGGTGATGATGATGGATCGGATGATGGTGGTCATGGTGATGATGTTGATGATGATGATCATGCTCATTATGATTATTATGATGATGCTGATGATGGTGATCATCATCATTGTGGCGATGCTGATGATGATGATGACGATGACGATGACGATGATGATGATTTTGTTGTTGATGCTGATGATGATGATGAATATGATGCTGATGCTGATGATGAGGATGCTGCTGCTGATGATGATGCTGATGAGGATGATAATGATGCTGCTGCTCATGATGCTGATGAGGATGCTGATGATGATGAGCATGATAATGCTGATGATGCTAATGATGCTGACTATGATGCTGATGCTGATGATGATGATGATGATGATGATGATGATGATGATGATGCTGCTGCTGATGATGATGATGACGATGAGGATGCTGATTATGCTGATGATGCTGATAATGATGATGCTGATGCTTATTGATGATGATGGAAGAGGATGATGATGACGATGATGATGATGATGATGATGATGATGATGATGATGATGATGATGATAATGATGATGCTGGTGCTGATGCTGCTGATGATGCTGCTGATGATGATGCTCATGCCGCTGCTGCTGCTGATGATGATGCCTTGATGATGATGATGATGAGGAGGATGAGGATGCTGCTGTTGATGCTGATGGATATGATGATGATGATGCTGATGGATATGATGATGATGATGATGATGATGATGATGATGATGATGATGATGATGATGATGATGTTGACGATGATGTTGTTGTTGATGATGATGATGCTGATGCTGGTGCTGCTGCTGCTGCTGCTGATGATGCTGATGATGATGATGATGATGATGCTGATGATGATGAGGAGGAGGAGGATGAGGATGATGAGGAGGAGGAGGAGGAGTAGAGGAGGATGGTCAGGGTTTAGAGATGGACAGATTGCGGGGGCGCAGGACCCAGAGGCTCCAAGCTTTAGGAGACAATCCAACCTCAATGAGCAATCAGTGACGGACGCCCTTTGGGACCCGTGCGAGGAGGAGAAGGAGGAGGAGGAGGAGGAGGAGGAGGAGGAGAACGACGGCGACGACGATGACGACGAAGACAGGCCCGCCTCGCCGCGGTCCGCGCGGAGATGTACGGGGACCTGTGCTCCATGAAGGCCGGCCCAGGCCGCTGGGGCGCCCCCCTCGATCCCTTCCTCTTCCCTCCCCCCTCCTCCCCCGACCTTCTGCGACTCGAAGAACCAGGACGGCTCGCTTTTCGCCCTCCTGGGCATCCAGAGGCCAGGATCTTCTGGGCCCTGCCGGATAAGAATGTCGCGGGGTGCACGCCGGGCCCGATGAGAGGGGTCGAGAGTTCCAGGGGCCCATGTCTCGTGAAAGCCGAGGCGTCGGATGTGTAGGCTCCCCACCCCTGAGATTCGACGTTGCGGCAAAGGGGCCACATCACGAGAGATCACGACTGGAGCCCGAGACCCAAACGTTCTCACGCTTTTTGTTCGAGCCAGATCAGTCTGTGAGAGCCATGGGCCCGAAACCGTGCGAAAGCGCCTGGTGTGAACACGTGGCACCGCCCGGATCCCAGGGCGCCCTCGAGGGCGCGAAGATCTTCGCGCTTCGCGCTCCGCGGTGCGGCTCCGATTCCTCCTCCTCCTCCTCCTCCTCCTCCTCCTCCTCCTCCTCCTCCTCCTCCTCCTCCTCCTCCTCCTCCTCTCTTCCTCCTCCTCCTCCTCCTCCTCCTCCTCCTCCTCCTCCTCCTCCTCCTCCTCCTCTCCTCCTCCTCCTCCTCCTCCCCCTCCTCCTCCTCCTCCTCTCCCCCGGGGGGGCGGCGCGAGCGCGGTTCGTCGCGCCGCGCGACGCGCGAAGCGCGGCGCCCTCGCAGAGCTCAGGGGCCCCCCCCTGGCGCTCCCCGAGGCGCGGAGGGCTGGGACCGCGGGCCCGGCAGCCGCGCGGGCGCGGCCGCGGGCGCGGGGGCCGTGGAGGCGCCGCGGCGCTGGCGCGGCGTGAACGTCAGCTCGTGGCTCCTGTGGGAGCCGGGGCCCGCGGACAAGTCCTGGCTGCGGGGAGAGGAATCTGGACGCCCGAAGTGGGTACTGAAAGAATGGTACAATGCCCAACAGCAGTTCCTGTTCATTTTGAACAGGAATCGCTGTCCACGCCGCCGCGGCCTGTGTCCATTCGAGGCAGAAGGCCGCCTGCCCAACAGCGGCCGCTGTTGGTTTGGGACAGCATTTGTTGTTGGGCATTGTGCCCATTCTTTCCGTACCGATTTCGGGCGTCCAAAAGGAAGTCCCATACCTCCTCTTGCCGTGAGAAGCAAAGCACGACGGGAGGTTTTTCGCTACTGTCGGCCTCCGCGCGCCCTTCCCTGGCCTCGGGACCGTCAGAAAACGACGCAGGATGAAAAACTGGTCCAGGGAAGGGGTCCAGACCTCTAGGGGTCGACGTTGTAAAATTGACCAGGCGAAGGACCCAACCAAATGCAGTTGCGAGTACCGTTATTTATCGGTTTCTTTGGAGATCCCATGAAGCGCTGTCCTGGGTGGCGTTGACGCATGCGGCCTGTGCCACTGGAGCCTTCGGCTGGGCTCCCTATGAGGCCACGAAGCGCTGTCCTGGGTGGCGTTGACGCATGCGGCCACTGGAGCCTTCGGTGGAGCTCCCTATGGGGCCACGAAGCGCTGTCCTTGGTGGCGTTGACGCATGCGGCCTGTGCCTCTGGAGCCTTCGGTGGTGCTCCCTATGGGGTCTCGAAATGCCGTCCTGGGTGGCGTTGACGCATGCGGCCTGTGCCACTGGAGCCTTCGGTGGAGCTCCCTATGGGGTCACGAAACGCCGTCCTGGGTGGGTGAAACCCAGGGAGGTGACGAGGCGGATGGGAGGAGGGAGGAGGGGGAGGAGGGGGAGGAGGAGGAGAGGAGAGGAGAGGACGAGCGATGCGGGGCGCTGTCTCTTCAAAACGAGGACCCAACACCACAGGATGGTTGGGAAAAATCACGACGTCGGGGGTCTGGGATCGGCTGCACGTAAGAGTGGCCCATCGCCGGAGTGACCTCTGGTGCGGGCCCACAAGGGTCCCCCGATCGCCGAGCGCTGTGCGATGGCAGCGTCTCGCGCGCTCGGGTTTTTTGTCCTTCCCGTCGGCCCCCCAGCACCGAAGGTCACCCTTGCGTGGGTCACTTCCGGCGTGCAGCCGAGGAAAGTCGACGGTCGACGCTCGATCCGTGGAGGTGGTCTGTGTTTCTTGGGGTCCAGCGACCACCCGGGCTATCGGGCCTGCCCGCCCGTCCCCCGTCCCCCTCTGGAATCGCCTGACCTTGCCAGTTGCGCAGGTCCGAAGGGGGGTACGCAGTATCGGTGCGCGCGGGCATACGTGGGTGGGGCTGCCCCAGGCTGGGAGGTTAGGTTCGGACTGGGCTAGGACGAGGATCAATCCGTTCCAGAGCGTGCCAGAGCGCTCCCCGGGCGTTCCGGAACGTTCTGAGACGGCCGTGGCGCCCGAGACATGTTCCAGAGCCGCCAGATCTCATCTTCCAGAGCCGCCGGATCTCAGAGTTTCTCGATTTGTCCTCACCCGAGGTTGTCCTCGTCCTGGCTTCGGCTTAACACGGGAGGCTGCCCCAAGCGAGCAGGTCAGGTTATCGGCTGGCACCTCCTCCCCCGCCAATGAGCCCTGGCTGCCGCCGAGCAAAAACTATCTCATATCCTTGCTGCTGCCCTCCACCTCGGGCGCCGGGGGAAGCGCGGCAGGGATCGAGGATGCGGCCCAGCAGGACAGCATTTCACTACCGCTCTGGCGCTTGTGGGGTCGGAGCGTGAGCAGGGGCTTGGCTTATACGCAGCACCCCGGAGCTGCGGATAAGAGTGAGGGGGAGGCGAGAGGACGTCGTCAGTCTGCGAGGCTCTGAAGAAGCCCGCCGCAGGTGCCTAACTTTTTTACAACTGATGCAGCGAGCCCGCCGCAGGCGCCGACTTTATCGTTAAAGCAATGTGGGTGGATCGCCCGGTGGGTCGCGGGTGGGTCGCGTGTGGGTCGCTGGTGGGTCGCGGGCCGGGTCGCGGGTGGGTCGCGGGCCGGGTCGCGTGTGGGTCGTGGGTGGGTCGCGGGCGCGTCGCGGGGAGGGTCGCGGGTGGATCGCGGAGTGTGTCGCGGGTTGGTCGCGTGTGGGTCGCCGGTTGGTGGCGGGTGGGTCGCGGGTGGGTTGCGGGCCGGGTCGCGGGGAAGACGACGACAACAAACAAAAGCAAAAACAACAGCAACAGCAACAATAATAATACCACCACCAACAACAACAGCAACAACCGCAACAACATCAACAACACCAACAACATCAACAACATCAACAACATCAACAACAACACCAACAACACCACCACGACCAACAACAATACCATCAGTAGCAGCAGCGGCAGCAGCAACAACACCACCAACAACAACATCACCAACAACAGCAGCAGCAGCAACAGCGACAGCAACAACAGCATCATCAGCAGCAGAAGCAGCAGCAACAGCACCAGCAACATCAATGACAACAGCAATAACAATAACGTTAGCGTTAACGTTAACGTTACCAACATCAGCAACAACATCAACAACACCAATACCACCACCATCACCACCAACAACAGCAACAACAATCATTTTGAGACCGTTCGCTCTTATCTGCTCGAGTGTCATCCAACGTGTATTTCTGAAAACCTTCGATACCCGCCCTCTTCGTCTACGATCGTGCCTTTTTTGGGGGTATATTTTTCCCAACCCTCCTTGGTTGGGTATTCGTTTTGAATAGAGCAGTGTGGTCTCCACTTCCTCCTTCCCGTCCCGTCTCCCTCTTGCCTCCTCCTGTCTTGCCTGCGGGGGGCTGCGATCTGTGAAACTGTCGCCACTTTCGAGGCCTGCTGGGGGGCCCAGCACAGTGACGCCACGGGCAGACCCAAATTAGACCTCGCCATCCCTGTGGGGGGCTGCGATCTGTGAAGCTGTCGCCACTTTCGAGGTCTGCTGGGGGGCCCAGCACAGTGACGCCACGGGCAGACCCAAATTAGACCTCGCCATCGGGGGGGCTGCGATCTGTGAAACTGTCGCCACTTTCGAGGCCTGCTGGGGGGCCCAGCACAGTGACGCCACGGGCAGACCCAAATTAGACCTCGCCATCCCTGGGGGGGCTGCGATCTGTGAAACTGTCGCCACTTTCGAGGCCTGCTGGGGGGCCCAGCACAGTGACGCCACGTGTCGCCATCCCTGGGGGGCTGCGATCTGTGAAACTGTCGCCACTTTCGAGGCCTGCTGGGGGCCCAGCACAGTGACGCCTTAGACCTCGCCATCCCTGGGGGGCTGCGATCTGTGAAACTGTCGCCACTTTCGAGGCCTGCTGGGGGGCCCAGCACAGTGACGCCACGGGGATTCAAATTAGACCTCGCCATCCCTGGGGGGCTGCGATCTGTGAAACTGTCGCCACTTTCGAGGCCTGCTGGGGGGCCCAGCACAGTGACGCCACGGGGATTCAAATTAGACCTCGCCATCCCTGGGGGGCTGCGATCTGTGAAACTGTCGCCACTTTCGAGGCCTGCTGGGGGGCCCAGCACAGTGACGCCACGGCGGACCCAAATTAGACCTCGCCATCCCTGGGGGGCTGCGATCTGTGAAACTGTCGCCACTTTCGAGGCCTGCTGGGGGGCCCAGCACAGTGACGCCACGGCGGATTCAAATTAGACCTCGCCATCCCTGGGGGGCTGCGATCTGTGAAACTGTCGCCACTTTCGAGGCCTGCTGGGGGGCCCAGCACAGTGACGCCACGGGGACCAAATTAGACCTCGCCATCCCTGGGGGCTGCGGCTGTCGCCACTTTCGAGGCCTGCTGGGGGGCCCAGCACAGTGACGCCACGGGCGGACCCAAATTAGACCTCGCCATCCCTGGGGGGCTGCGATCTGTGAAACTGTCGCCACTTTCGAGGCCTGCTGGGGGGCCCAGCACAGTGACGCCACGGGCGGACCAAATTAGACCTCGCCATCCCTGGGGGGCTGCGATCTGTGAAACTGTCGCCACTTTCGAGGCCTGCTGGGGGGCCCAGCACAGTGACGCCACGGGCGGACCAAATTAGACCTCACCATCCCTGGGGGGCTGCGATCTGTGAAACTGTCGCCACTTTCGAGGCCTGCTGGGGGGCCCAGCACAGTGACGCCACGGGCAGACTCAAATTAGACCTCGCCATCCCTGGGGGGGCTGCGATCTGTGAAACTGTCACCACTTTCGAGGCCTGCTGGGGGGCCCTGCACAGTGACGCCACGGGCAGACCCAAAGTAGACCTCGCCATCGGGGGGGAGCTGCCCCACTGTACTGGGGCTCGATCTGTGAAAAACTGTCGCCACTTTCGAGGCCTGCTGGGGGGCCCAGTGCACAGTGACGCCACGGGCGACCCAAATTAGACCTCGCCATCCCTGGGGGGGCTGCGATCTGTGAAACTGTCGCCACTTTCGAGGCCTGCTGGGGGGCCCAGCGCGCCACGTGACGCCACGGAGACCCAATTTTAGACCTCGCCATCCCTGGGGGGCTGCGATCTGTGAAACTTCGCCACTTTCGAGGCCTGCTGGGGGGCCCAGCACAGTGACTTAGACCTCGCCATCCCTGGGGGGCTGCGATCTGTGAAACTGTCGCCACTTTCGAGGCCTGCTGGGGGGCCCAGCACAGTGACGCCACGCGCGGATTCAAATTAGACCTCGCCATCCCTGGGGGGCTGCGATCTGTGAAACTGTCGCCACTTTCGAGGCCTGCTGGGGGGCCCAGCACAGTGACGCCACGGGCAGACCCAAATTAGACCTCGCCATCCCTGGGGGGCTGCGATCTGTGAAACTGTCGCCACTTTCGAGGCCTGCTGGGGGGCCCAGCACAGTGACCCACGGGCGGACCCAATTAGACTTCGCCATCCCTGGGGGGGCTGCGATCTGTGAAACTGTCGCCACTTTCGAGGCCTGCTGGGGGGCCCAGCACAGTGACGCCACGCGCGGACCCAAATTAGACCTCGCCATCCCTGGGGGGGGCTGCGATCTGTGAAACTGTCGCCACTTTCGAGGCCTGCTGGGGGGCCCAGCACAGTGACGCCACGGGCAGATTCAAATTAGACCTCGCCATCCCTGGGGGGCTGCGATCTGTGAAACTGTCGCCACTTTCGAGGCCTGCTGGGGGGCCCAGCACAGTGAGGGCCACGCGCGGATTCAAATTAGACCTCGCCATCCCTGGGGGGCTGCGATCTGTGAAACTGTCGCCACTTTCGAGGCCTGCTGGGGGGCCCAGCACAGTGAGGGCCACGCGCGGACCCAAATTAGACCTCGCCATCCCTGGGGGGCTGCGATCTGTGAAACTGTCGCCATTTTCGAGGCCTGCTGGGGGGCCCAGCACAGTGAGGGCCACGGGCGGACCCAAATTAGACCTCGCCATCCCTGGGGGGCTGCGATCTGTGAAACTGTCGCCACTTTCGAGGCCTGCTGGGGGGCCCAGCACAGTGACGCCACGGCGACCAAATTAGACCTCGCCATCCCTGGGGGCTGCGATCTGTGAAACTGTCGCCACTTTCGAGGCCTGCTGGGGGGCTCAGCACAGTGACGCCACGCGCGGACCCAAATTAGACCTCGCCATCCCTGGGGGGCTGCGATCTGTGAAACTGTCGCCACTTTCGAGGCCTGCTGGGGGGCCCAGCACAGTGACGCCACGCGCGGACCCAAATTAGACCTCGCCATCCCTGGGGGGCTGCGATCTGAGATCCCCGCTTTCGAAGTGGCTAGGGTTGCTCAGGGATTGTAACTAATCAGCTTTATCTAGTCCTTATCCTGTAGCCAGTGTCCTGCGAGTCTCCCGAACTCCGTCTGCAGACATGTGTAACCCTCGCTCCGTCATCGCCCCCCTTATAAAGTGTTCTAAATTATTTGCGCCCCGCATTTGCGCAGGGGTTGGGTACGTCGCCAGGGTAATTCTTCCCTGCAGGCTGGGCCCCGGCACGCGGCGGGGCGGCCGCGGACCGTCGGCCTGGCCAGCGGCAGCGCTGATCGGCGGCAACCTGACCCCAAGAGGGACGGACAGGGGACCGACCACGATGACGACGACGACGACGACGACGACGACGACGACGACGACGACGACGACGACGACGACGACGACGACGACGACGAGCACGAGCGAGAGCGAGAGCGAGAGCGAGAGCGAGAGCGAGAGCGAGAGCGAGAGCGAGAGCGAGAGCGAGAGCGAGAGCGAGAGCGAGAGCGAGAGCGAGGCCGCGAAGGGCATGAAGGGGGCCACGATGGGCGACAGCGGGGCCACAAAGGGTATGCGTATGGGGCCACGAAGGGCAGATAATGCGGGGCCGCGGAGGGCAACGACGGGGCCGCTGAGAGGGGGCAGCGGGCCCGCGTAGGACAGCGAGAGGGCCACAAAGGGCGACAGCGGGGCCGCGAATGGCAAGCACATGAGGCTGCGACGGGCGCGAACGAGCGGGGGCCACGAAGGGCATGCGTATATTTGGGCCGCAGGGGGCACGGGCGGGGCGAGTGAGGGCAGCAACGGGGCCACGAAGGGCTGCAACGGGGCCGCGAATGGCGACGGCGGGGCCGCGAAGCGCATGCGTCCGGGGCCGCGACGGGCGCGAACGAGCAGGGGTCACGAAGGGCATGCGTATGCAGGGCCCCGCAGGGCAGCGTCTGGGCCACGAAGGGCTGCAATGGGGCCACGAATGGCAGCGAGGGGGCCGCGACGGGGTGCAACGGGGCCACGAATGGCAGCGAGGGGTCCACTGAGGGCGGCTACGGGGCAACAAAGGGCAGCAGCGATGAGGCCGCGAAGGGCTGCGCCGGGGCCGCGAAGGGCAGCGAGGGAGCCGCGAAAGGCTGCAACGCGGCCGCGAACAGCAGCGAGGGAGCCGCGACGGGCTGCAACGAGGCCACGAAGGGCAGCGAGGGGGCCACGAAGGGCTGCAACGGGTCCACGAAGGGCAGCGAGGGGGCCACAACGGGTCCCCGAAGGGCAACAAGGGGGCCACGAAGGGCTGCAACGGGGCCGCGAAGGGCAGCGAGGGGGCCACGAACGACTGCAAGAGCGCAAGAACGCGATTCTTGAGTAAGTTGCAAGCGAGTCTCCAGCGAGAGCGCGACTCCAGAGCTGCGAGAGCGATTCCAGAGTCCCAAGCGAGAGCGCGATTCCTGAGTAAAATGCGAGGAAGTCTCAGGCGGGAGCGGAGGTCGTGGCTACATTGAGAGGAAGTCTCAAGCGGGAGCCGTTGTTGTTGTCATCCGGGGGCCAGGGGCGCAGTTTGAGCTATGGGGGGCGCACTTCGATTGAAAAACACAATGGCCACCGGAGGGGGATCAAACACAGTTATTCTTCAGTAGTGGGAGCTCAACAACAGCAACAGCGGCAGCAACAACAACCACAACAATATCATCAACAGCAACAAGAACAACCACAACACCAACACCATCACCAACATCAGCAACAACCAACAACAACGACAACGACGACAATATCAACATCAACACCACAGCAACAACACTAACACCACCACCAACAACAACACCAACAGAGTGAACAACAACACCACTACAACAACAGCAGCAACAGCACCACCACCACCAACAACACCACAAACAATAACACCAACAACAAACAACAACATCTTCATCATCATCATCATCAACAACAGCTGGAACAACGACGACACCAACAACGGCAGCAACCACACCACCGCCACCAACAACAACACCAACACCAGGCACATCAACAACAGCAGCAACAACACTAACAACACCAGCAGCAACATCAACAGCAAGAACAACACTAACACGTACATCAGCAACATCAGAAATACCAGCAACAAAACCATCACCACCACCATAATCGCCAACAACAGCGACAGCAGCAGCAGCAGCAGCGACAACACCGACAGCAACAACAACAGCAATCCGCTCCGCAGAGAGCCTCACTTCAGCCACACGCGCAGGGACAGTGAATGACCGTTCGGCCCCCTCACTCTGACGTCGTTGGACAAGTCCTGGACGCGGCCCAGCAGGCCAGAAGTTTACTACCGCTCTGGCCCTCGTGGGGTCGGAGCGTGAGCAGGGGCATGGATAAATCGTCGTCGGTTTCGGGAGCGAAAGAGCCCATACATGCTCGCGTTGAAAGGGTATCATCTCGGTCATTTTTGACTTCCGCGGGCTCTCGCCAGTCCTCGGGACCGTACAGAAACGGCTCGGAATGTAACACTTGCTCCAGGGAAAGGTAGGTCAGCAAAAACACAAAGACATTCATAGTCGGGAGATTTTCGACAACACGCCGCCTTTGGCCCCCCCCCGCCAGCGTGCTGCTCCTTCGTTTCTGTCTGCAGGCCTGGTGCGTCTTCCGCAGTGGCACGCGCATGGGCCCCCCTCTGCGGCGCATTGTTGTCGATGCCGTTGTTGCTCCCCCAGGCTGGTCGCCTCGCTAGGGCCTGGCGAAAGGCCCGAGGACGAGTGGGGCCTGTGCGAGAGGCTCGTCGAGAAGCACGGGCGGGAGGCCGCGGAGCGCATGGTGCAGAGGCCCTGCGGCTCGCACACAAGGGGGATGACGCTTGAGTGGGGCGGTGGCCTCCCGGAGGGCAGGGGGGGGCTCCTCGGAGGCCCTCCCGCCTCCCCAGGAGCGTTCGGATCGAGGGGGACGCAGACATTGACCGAGGCGCGCGAGAGGGCGACGGGTCCAGCTGCGGTGCAGACGTCGATCCCAATCTACTCCGAGCGCCTTCCTGCTTCAAGAGTCGACATGATTTTGCCGTGTTCTGTTGTTCTCTGGGAGGGCCTGGACCCGCTCCACTTTGTCCGCCTTCCCACTTCGTGTTTCTGCCTACCTCTTCCGACCGACGTGTACAGGTCCCAGACCCCCGACGTCACGACTTTTTCACAGCGTCGGCCCTCAGAGGTCTCGACCCACTCCCCCCTGGACTGGCTTCTCCTCCCGAGTCGTCTTTGGACGGTCCCGAAGGCCGGCGAGGGCCTCCCGAGGCCCAAGGCGTGCCACGGCTCCCTGCCGCGATTTTTTTGCTCGTCGCGCCCCAGGGGGTTTCCGGGGCCTCGTCGCCCCGAGCTCCCCGGGCCTGCCCCCCCGGTGCCAGTGCGTGCCCCGCGCGGGCCCTCTCCCGGAGGCCCCCCCGCGGGGCCCCCCTCTCGCCGAGGCGCCCCGCGCCCTCTCGGAGCGGGGCCGCGCCCCTCTCGCGCCGCCCGGGGCCCCGGGGCGCGGTGCCCTCGCGGCCGCGCGGGCCTCGGCAGGCCTCGGCCCTCTCCCCGTTGGCGCGCACCGGGGGGGCACGCGTCAGTCGGGCGGGCCCCTCGGCAGGAGGAGTGTCCGAAGATGGTCAAGACATCTGAGGTTCCCTGCGGTTTCTGAATTTTGTTGGATGTGTCCGTACTCTGTACGTTTCGCCCAAGCTCCGCCTGTAGGAGGACATGCCCGACCTAAGGGTACAGTCGATCGGCGGCGAGCGAGGGGGGAAGTGAGAAGGAGAAGGCCTCCTCAGAAGGCCCGGAGAAGTCCCCCTGCTTTCTGAGGAGTCTCCTGAGCCTTCCCCGAAGACGCAGAGAGCTTCTCAGAACGCGCGAGGGCTTCTGAGAAGTCCCGCCGCCTTCTGAGGAGGCCTTCTCTGTCTCGCTTCCCCCCCGCTCGCTCGCCGCCAAGTCGAGACGCTTCAAGAAGGACCACTCCGGGCTCGGGATGGGGCTCGGGTTCTCGGGGCGTTCTCGAGGTCTGGGTCGGGGAGCCTCCTCGGGGACGAGGCCCGCCGTGGCCTGGAGAGGCCCCTCGTTCCTCCTCCGGCGCTCCCCCCTGACAGTGCCGTGAGCGTGCGGGGGAGCGGCGGGGGGGAGGCCTCTCAGAGGGAGGCTGCTTCTCGGAGGCTCCTTTTGCCTCCGGGGTGCCCTGGGTTTCCTTTGGGTTTCGACGGTTCTGCCGCGGAAAGCGTGACGTTCCTCCACCAAGAATCAGTGGACGTCCTGGGGTCTCAGGGCTGGGTCACTTTTTGAAGGTTTCTTGTGGACTGGCCTCCACTGTGCACCCACAGGGAAGGTCCGCGCCTCCTCAGGAACAGGGGTGCTTCCGAGAAGCCTTCCCCGCCCAGCGGAGTGACGCCATACGCAGATTCAGATTCGACCTCGCCATCCATGGGTGGCTGCGATCTGCGAACCTGTCGCCACTGTCGAGGGCTGCTGGGGGGGGCCCAGCGGAGTGGGGTCATATGCAAATTCAGATTAGACCTCGCCATCCCTGGGGGGCTGCGATCTGCGAACCTGTCACCACTTTCGAGGGCTGCTGGGGGGCCCAGCGGAGTGACGTCATACGCAGATTCAGATTCGACCTCGCCATCCCTGGGGGGCTGCGATCTGCAACACTGTCGCCACTTTCGAGGGCTGCTGGGGGGCCCAGCGGAGTGACGTCATACGCAGATTCAGATTACCCCCCATTCCATCCTTCTCCTGCCCCTCGATCCTGTCCCCGTTATTCTTCGAGCCTGGGGCCTCAATCCTCGTTCTTTCGATCGTCGTCCTGTGAGTCGTGCAACGCATGCGCATCCCATTAAGTTTGCGCAGCAATTCACCGCGTCTACACTGTCGTTGTTCCTGCTAATGTTGTGGCCTACTCCTCTTGCCACTTGATGCACATGGGTTGGGTGCGTCGCAGGGTATTTATTATTATTATTATTATTATTAGTAGTAGTAGTAGTAGTAGTAGTAGTAGTAGTACTAGTAGTAGTAGTAGTAGTAGTAGTAGTAGTACTAGTGGTAGTAGTAGTAGTAGTAGTAGTAGTAGTAGTAGTAGTAGTAGTAGTAGTAGTAGTAGTAGTAGTAGTAGTAGTAGTAGTAGTAGTAGTAGTAGTAGTAGTAGTAGTAGTAGTAGTAGTGTAGTAGTAAGTAGAGTAGTAGTAGTAGTAGTAGTAGTAGTAGTAGTATAGTAGTAGTAGTAGTAGTAGTGTAGTTAGTAGTAGTAGTAGTAGTAGTAGTAGTAGTTAGTAGTAGTAGTAGTAGAGTAGCAGTCGTCGTAGTCGTAGTCGTAGTCGAGTAGTAGTAGCCGTAGTAGTAGTAGTAGTAGTAGTAGTAGTAGTAGTAGTAGTAGTAGTAGTAGTAGTAGTAGTAGTAGTAGTAGTGTGTAGTAGTAGTAGTAGTAGTAGTAGTAGCAGTAGTAGCAGTAGTAGTAGTAGTAGTAGTAGTAGTTAGTAGTAGTAGTAGTAGTAGCAGTAGCAGTAGCAGCAGTAGCAGTAGTAGTAGTAGTAGTAGTAGTAGTAGTAGTAGTAGTAGTAGGTAGTAGTAGTAGTAGTAGTAGTAGTAGTAGTAGTAGTAGTAGTAGTAGTAGTAGTAGTAGTAGTAGTAGTAGTAGTAGTAGTAGCAGTAGCAGTGGCAGTAGCAGTAGCAGTAGCAGTAGCAGTAGCAGTAGCAGTAGTAGTGATAGTAGTAGTAGTAGTAGTAGTAGTAGTAGTAGTAGTAGTAGCAGCAGCAGCAACAGGAGCAGTAGTCGTAGTAGTAGTCGTAGTAGTCGTAGTAGCAGTAGTCGTCGTCGTCGTCGTCGTCCTCGTCGTCGTCGTCGTCTTCGTAGTCGTAGCAGTAGTAGTAGTAGTAGTAGTAGTAGTAGTAGTAGTAGTAGTAGTAGTAGTAGTAGTAGTAGTAGTAGTAATGGTAGTAGTCGTAGTAGTCGTAGTAGTAGTAGTCGTAGTAGTCGTAGTAGTAGTAGTAGTAGTCGTAGTAGTAGTAGTAGTAGTAGTAGCAGCAGCAGCAGCAGTAGTCGTAGCAGTAGTCGTACCCGTAGTCGCGTAGTATTTCACGTATTTTTAGTAGTAGTAGTAGTAGTAGTAGTAGTAGTAGTAGTAGTAGTAGTAGTAGTAGTAGTAGTAGTAGTAGTAGTAGTAGTAGTAGTAGTAGTGGTGGTAGTAGTGGTAGTAGTAGTAGTAGTAGTAGTAGTAGTAGTAGTAGTAGTAGTAGTAGTAGTAGTAGTAGTAGTAGTAGTCGTAGTAGTAGTAGTAGTAGTAGTAGTAGTAGTAGTAGTAGTAGTAGTAGTAGTAGTAGTAGTAGTAGTAGTAGTAGTAGTAGTAGTAGTAGTAGTAGTAGTAGTAGTAGTAGTAGTCGTAGTAAGTAGTAGTAGTAGCCGTACTCGTAGTAGTAGTAGTAGTAGTAGTAGTAGTAGTAGTAGTAGTAGTAGTAGTAGTAGTAGTAGTAGTAGTAGTAGTAGTAGGAGTAGTAGGAGTAGTAGTAGTAGTAGTAGTAGTAGTAGTAGTAGTAGCAGTCGTAGTAGTAGTAGTGAGTAGTAGTAGTAGTAGTCGTAGTAGTAGTAGTAGTAGTAGTAGTAGTAGTAGTCGTAGTAGTCGTAGTAGTAGTGGTAGTGGTGGTAGTAGTAGTAGTAATAGTAGTAGTAGTAGTAGTAGTAGTAGTAGTCGTAGTAGTAGTAGTAGTAGTAGTAGTAGTAGTAGTAGTAGTCATAGTAGTCGTAGTAGTCGTAGTAGTCGTCGTAGTAGTAGTAGTAGTAGTAGTAGTAGTAGCCTGGATAGGAGTACTCTGATTAATCTTATTTGTATCACTTTTCTTCTTCTTCATCATACTATTCCTATTTTAAGAATTATTATTATTGCTAGTATCATTTTTTTGTTATTATATTTATTAGTACTAGTATTAGTATCAGTATTATTTGTTTTTTACTAGTTTCATTTTTTATTCTTATTCGTATGATTATAAGTTTCACGTACATATACAGAGGAGGGGTGGGGGCTTGTGCACCCAGTCATAGCCTCGTATTGCTACTCGCGCGAGCGGATTGCCTCTGCCGCGCCGCGACGGAAAGAGTGCGCGCAGTCGGGAGGCATCGCGGCGAGGCCGAGGGTGGTCAAAGCCTGGAGGTAGGAAAGCCCGCGGCGAGCGAGGCGGGGATGTAAGCAGGAGAGGGCCTTCTCACAAGGCGGCAAGGCTTTTCGGAAGGCCTCCTGCCTTCTGAAAGGTTTTCGGTGTCTTCCCGGGAGGCTCCGAAGGCTTCTCAGAAGACCGGGGGACTTCCAAGCCTTCCGAGAAGGCCCGCCCCTTTTCTTCACTTCCCGTGGGCTCGCTGCCGAGAAAGGGGTGGGGTGCCAATGCTGAAACTGAAGGCTTGACCATTTCCACGTTATCTATCGTAGGCAACGTCGCCTGTTCCACGATTCGCACCACACCCCGTCACGCCACACCCTTTCCCGACCTCCAGACAAGAGAGTCTCCCGCCGCGAATGTCTTCACAGCGAGAGGAAGTGGGGGTTGTGCGCGCAGTCGGGAGGTATCGCAGCGAGCGCGTGACCCGGGCGGACTTCGCCGCGATGAAGAAGCTCGGGCTCAACGCCGTGCGCGTGCCCTTCGGCTACTGGGCCTTGCGGCCGCGGCCCGGCGAGCCCTTCTTCGGGGGCTGCGCCGAGTTCCTGGATGACGCCCTCGCCTGGGGAGAAGAGCTCGGGCTCCCTCGGCATCAAATCATGGGAGCCTTGTGTCTCCGTCCTCGTGGTTTGTTTGTCTCAGAGCACCCTGCGCTGGCGGCTGGGATCGACGAGAGAGCGCCGCCCCTCGTCGATTCACAGGAGCCACCACGATGGCACGGGAGGCTCCCGTGAGTTGCGCCACCGAAGGCTCTCCGTGGTGCTCTGCCTCCACGCCGCGGTCGGCTTCCAGAGCCAGGACCCTCCGTGCGGGCGGGCGAACCGGGCGTGGCGGCCGTGCCGCTTCGACGTCGACGCCACCGTGGACGTCATGCGGGACGTGGCCCTGCGCTTCGGAGGGCACCCGGCGCTGGGAGGCATCTGCGTGCTCAACGAGCCGTCCGGGGACATCCCGCCGCGCACCATGAACCGGTACTTCCAGGAGGTGTACTCCGCGCTGCGCACGGACTGCCGCCTGCCGGCCTCCGTCCAGATCATGCTGCCCGTGTTCCACCACGACTTCAGGCACTTCCGGGGCCGGTACACCGAGGACCCTCCCTTCCTGTCCCTTCCTCGCTTCCGCCCTCCTCCCTCCTGCCCGTCTTTCGTTTTCTCTTTCTCTTTGCTGTTGCCTCCTCTCCATCCCTCTGGCGGCCCCCTCGAGGGGGGCTGCGCGAGGGGAGTGGGCTGCCAAGAAGGCGGCGGCGTTTCTCTGAGAAGGCGGGGGGCTTCTCGGAAGCCCTACCTGCTCCCGAAGAAGCTCCGACGTCTTCGCGGAGGCCTCGGGGCCTTCTCAGAGGGCCCCCGCCTTCGACGAGGCCCCTCCGCCTGCTTAATTACGAGGCCAGCCCCCTCGCGCCAGTCCCTCCTGTTCCTCTCCTGCTCCTCCGCCTCCTCCAGGGGAACGAAAAATGAAAAAATGACATAAACATAAAAACTCGGAGCGGATTTCTCGGATCCGCGCTGGACCCCCCTCGCTGGCGCGCGGAGCGCGCCAGGGGCGGCGCCGGAGGCGCCGCCAGGGGGGTCCAGCGCCGATCCGAGAAATCCGCGCGGAAATCTGAGTTTTAATGTTTATGTCGTTGTTCGTTCCCCTATCCTCGCCTCCGGCCTGCCCCCCTGCGCGCTGAGGACCAGGGGTACGTCAACGTGCTCTTCGACGTGCACGTGTACCAGGTGAGCGACGGAGGAAAAGGGAGCCGTCTGCGCCGACATTCGCGCGTAGGCTGTCCGCGTAAGGTCGCGCGTGAGCGCCCTTGTTCCCCACGCGGTGTGCCGCGCTGGCGGCCCGCGTAAGCCACCGCGTAAGGTTTTCATGCCGTCTCGCGTGAGAGCCGTTTGTGATCGTCGCTCAGGTCTTTGGCGAGCCCTACGCCGGCTGGCACCGCATGTCCCTCGCCCAGAACCTGCGCCACGCGGACGCCCTCTCCAGCACCCACGACGTTAGGGCTATCGCCGACTGCGGTGACTGGCGGCCCTCGAGGAGGAGGAGGAGGAGGAGGAGGAGGAGGAGGAGGAGGAGGAGGAGGAGGAGGAGGAGGAGGAGGAGGATGGAGGATGGAGAAAAGAAGGATGGAGGATGGAGGGTGGAGGATAGAGAATGGAGAATGGAGGATGGATGGAGGATGGAGGATGGAGGATGGAGGATGGAGGATGGAGAATGGAGAATGGAGGATGGATGGATGGAGGATGGATGGATGGAGGATGCATGGATGATGGATGGATGCATAGATGGATGGCTGGCTGGATGCATGGATGGATGATAGTGATGATGCTGATGATGATGATGATGATGATGATGATGATGATGATGATGATGATGATGCTGAGGGTGATGATGAAGATGATGATGCTGATGATGATTCTGATGATGCTGCTGCTGATGATGCTGATGCTGCTGCTGATGCTGCTGCTGATGATGATGATGAGGTGGAAGCTGCTGCTGATGATGCTGATGCTGCTGATGATGATGCTGCTGATGCTGCTGCTGATGATGATGTGGCGGTGGTGGTGGTGGCGATGGGGACGATGATGACGATGATGATGACGATGATCATGATTCATGATGATTCTGATGCTGATGATGATGATTTTGACGATGCTGCTGATGATTATGCTGCTGATGATGCTGATGATGCTGCTGCTGATGATGATGATGATGATGATGACGCTGATGATGATGATGCTGCTGATGCTGATGCTGCTGCTGATGCTGCTGCTGATGCTGCTGATGATGATTCTGACGATGCTGATGAGATCGGGGATGAGGATGCTGGTGACGATGATGATGCTGATACTGATTACGATGATGACGATGATGATGCTGCTACTGATGATGATGCTGATGATGATGCTGATGATGATGACAATGCTGTTGATGATGATGAGACTGATGATGTTGATGCTGATGATGATGATGAGGAGGAGGAATAAGAGGATGATGATGCTGATGCTGATGCTGATGCTGATGCTGCTGATGATGATGATTATGATGATGATGATGCTGATGCTGATGCTGTTGTCGATGATGCTGCTGCTGATGATGATGATGCTGGTGATGATGCTGCTGCTGATGATGATGATGCTGATGCAGATGCTGATGATGATGATGATGATGATGCTGATGCTGATGCTGATGCTGATGCTGATGCTGATGCTGCTGATGATGATGATGATTGATGATGATGATGATGATGATGATGATGATGATGATGATGATGATGAAGATGATGTTGATGATGTTGATGATGATGATGATGATGATGATGATGATGATGGTGGTGGTGGTGGTGGTGATGATGATGATGATGATGATGATGATGATGATGATGCTGATGAGGATGAGGATGAGGAGGAGGATGAGGAGGAGGAGGGGGCGGATGAGGTGGAGGAGGGAGAGGAGGATGATGAAGGAAGGAGGATAGAGGACGGAGGCTTGAAGATGGAGGATGGGGGATGGAAGATGGAGGATGGAGGATGAACGATGGAGGATGGAGGATGGAGGATGGATGTAGGACGGAGGATGGAGGATGGATGATGGACGATGTAGGATGGAAGATGGAGGATGGAGGATGGAGGATGGAGTAAGGAGGACGGATGATGGAGGATTGAGGAGGGAGGACGGAGGTTGGAGGATGGAGGATGGAGGATTCAGTATGGAGGATGGAGGAGAATGGATAGAGAGTGGAGGAGGACGGAGGCGGATGGGGGAGGATGAATTAGTGTGGAGGGGTAGGGAGGAGGATGAGGAGGCGGAGGAGGAGGAGGAAGATGACGGATGGAGGATGGAGGGTGGACGATGGAGGATGGAATATGGATTATGGAAGATGGGGGAGGAGGACGAGGAGGACGAGGATGGGGACGGAGGAGGAGGAGGAGGAGGAGGAGGAGGAGGAGGATGAGGAGGATGAGTAGGAGGAGGATCAGGAGGAGGAGGAGGATGGCGGATGGAGGATTGCGGAGGATTGCGGAGGATCGAGGAAGATTGAGGAGGAGGAGCAGTGTAAGCCCAAGACTCATGAACGGTGTTGTAATACACCCTTCCTCCAAGCGCTCTCTTCATAAGCCCTACACGATGGTTAACTCCCACAGGAAAGTGCCCCGCTGGGAGACAACCGTTGGAAGATGCGGAAAGAGTGACATTATACAATTCTCGGATTTTCACTGCCCTCGAGTGAATTTGACTGTTGCTCATTGACGAAGCCGAGCCGTGCCAGAACATCATTCCTGGGACTGACGTGTTGTGCCCCGATAATCCCGACTCGTTCCAAAACGCAATTCCTTGTGCCTTGGCCATGCGAGCCCGTGATATTCTTGCAAGTTCTTAGGGCGAATGTGCGAGGCACTAGAGCGAGGGCTGCATATCGAAAAAAGACCGCCATCCATCTGTGAATCTCCGGCACCTGTAAGACGAATGTGCGTGCCGCTAAGGCGATGGCCCGCTTCGGAGGTGGCCCGCCCTCAACCAGTGACATTTTTATATTTTGAGACGGGTGTGCACGGCGCCAAGGCGAGAACCACATTGTGAACACTGTCCGTCCTCAGTCCATGCAATTCTTGCACGTTTCCAAGCCGAAGGCGTGCAGCGCTAAGGCGATGGCTACATTTTGAAAACAACGCCCGCCCTCTATCCGTGAAGTGGTTGTCAAGCTTGGTGCTTCAGGGTCATCACTGGTGGAAACGTCCCAGGCGACACGCCCGCCCTTTCGACTGGCTTCGGGGCGCGAGGAGGCGTATGATGTCGTGAGAAAGAAACATGGAGGTGGAAGAGGGCGATGAGGAGGAGGATGGGGGAGGAGGAGGAGGAGGATTAGGACGAGGAGGAGGAGGAGAAGGATTAGGACGAGGAGGAGGAGGAGGAGGAGAAGGAGGATGATGAGCAGGAGGAGGAGAAGGAGGATGATGATGATGAGGAGGAGGATGAGGAGGAGGAGGAGGAGGAGGAGGAGGAGGAGGAGGAGGGGGGTTGAGGAGGAGGAGGCGGGGGAGGAGGAAGACGGGGAGGCGGAGGAGGAGGAGGAGTAGGAGGAGGAGGAGGAGGGACGAGGGAGTAGGATGGAGGATGGCGAATTGGGGAGGAAGGAGGAGTATGGAGAAGGGAAATGAACACGGAGGATGGATGTGACGGGCGGAGGATCGATGTTGAGGATGTTGATGAGGATGGACAGGGACAGGAGGAGGGCGAGGAAGAGGAGGAGGAGGAGGAGGCTGAGGTCGAACATGATGATGATACTGAGGATGGAGATTAGGATGTTGATACTGATGAGGATACTGATGGTGCTGCCTCTAATGATGATGCTGATGATGATGATGCTGATGCTGAGTACAAGGATGCTGTTGATGCTGCTGATTATGAGGATGATGTTGGCGACGATTCGCATGATGCTCATACTGACGCCGAGTCGATGCTGCTGCTGATGATGCTGATGAATCGGCTGTTGATGCTGCTGATGTCGATGATTATGGTGATGATGAGGATGCTGATGAGGATGCTGATCATGCTGGTGATGCTGTTGATGATGATGCTGTTGATTCTGATGATGATGATGCTGATGATGATGCTGCTGATGATAAGGATGCTGATGTTGAGGATGCTGATGATGATGATGCTTATGCTGATGATTGTATTGCTGATGCTGTTGATGCTGCTGATGCTGAGGATGGTGCCTATACTGATGAGGATGAGGATGCTTATGCTGATGACGATGATGACGCTGGTGTTGATGCTGATGACGACGACGATCATGTTGCGGTCGATTATGATTATGATGCTGGCGATGATGATGCTGATGCAGTCGATGATGTTGATGCTGGTACTGATTATGCTGCTGATGATGCTGATGATGACGATGATGCTGATTTCGATGATGCTGTTGTTGGTGATGCTGATGCTGATGATGATGCTGATGCTGATGCTGATGACGCTGAGGTCGACGATTATGATGAGTCTGCAGTTGAAGATGATGATGCTGATGATGATGCTGATACTGATGATGATGAGGCGGGCGCCGATGATGTGTTGGAGATGCTGTTCCTGATGATGATGATGCTGAATGTGCTGATGCTGCCGTTGATGATGCCGATGGTGATGAGGATGCGGATGAGGATGATGCGGATGATGCTGATGGTGATTTTGATGAGGCTGATGATGGTGATGACGACAATCATGCTGATGAGTTCGATGATGATGATGCTGATGGGGATGGTGATGACGATGATGCTGATTTCGATGATGATGATCATGATGATGAATTGTCTGCTGCTGATGGTGATGATGATGATGATGATGCTGATGATGATGATGATGATGGGGGTGGTGGTGGTGATGATAATGCTGATGAGGATGTTGACGATGCTGACTACGGTGATGATGATCAGGCTGATGATTTGTCTGCTGCTGATGATGAGGATGGTAGCAATGATGACGCTCATGCTGCTGATGCTGATGATGATGCTGCTGATGATGGTGTTGATGATGACGATGATGCCGATGCTGATGATGATGATGCTGATGCTGTTGATGATGCTGTTGTTGATTATGCTGATGCTGATGATGGTGATACTGGATATGAGGACGATGATAATGATGCGGCTGCTGATGATGATTACGATGATGATGATGATGCTGCTGATGCTGATGATGACGATGATGAGGATGATGATGATGATGATGATGATGATGATGATGGTGATGTTGATAATGATGATGCTGATGCTGCTGCTGATGATGATGATGGTGATGCGACGGACGACGATGCTGCTGCTGACGATGATGCTGCTGTTGATGGTGGTGGTGGTGGTGGTGGCGGTGGGGATGATGATGCTTCTGTTGATGCTGCTGATGATGATGATGATGCTGATGATGCTGATGATGATGATGATGAGGATGATGATGCGGATGCTGATGCTGCTGCTGGTGATGATGATGCTGATGCTGATGATGCTGATGATGCTGATGATGGTGA